ATTTCAACTGTAAATTTTTAATTAAATTATTAATAAAGATAGAAACATGGCTTCACCTTAGCTTTGCTTAAAAAAAATAAAAAATAAAAAAAAAAAAAAAATAAAAAAAAAAAAAAAATAAATATATGAATCTACCAAATAGTAAAGGATTTATAAGAATCTGGTAATATATATAACAATAGCAGCTATTTGTAATGATTAATAAGCATTAATTGACAAAATGAGAATTTTAGTCTATTCTTCATGATGTAATTTTATATTAGTTTCATATAATGCAAACATTTAGTAAATATTTTAAAAACTTAAGAATTGATAACTATTACTATTATCTAATTGCTATAGCTTTCAAAATAGTAGGTTGAAGCCAAAAAGTAGATGAGGCTTTAAAGCTTGAGGAGGCTTATTAGCTTTTTATTAAATCTCAACTACTCACTGAAGTTGCAAAAGAATTTTTATATAATGATTTATTTTCAAATTGGTTGTCTGAAGAATAGATTAATTGTTTTATTAATAGTGCTCGAATACTATCTGCAAATGACTCACCAAATACTAAACCTATGACTACAAACAATCTTACAGAGAGAATAAATAAGTTAGTTGAAGGCCAATGTGTAGGTACTCAGCTAGTTAACCACTTTATTAAAAGATTATATAGTATTACTTTAACACAGGACAATATTATTAAAGAAACCTCTTCACAGTTAGTATTTGAAGCAGGTTAGGTAATATATTGAAATTCATAAATTATAGAGCATCAGATATTACTATTTAAGCAACTAATAAATATGAAATGACAATTGAACCAAGGATATCTTTATATTATACTTTACTCAGTTAAACTTGTGATTGAAGGATCAGATATATATTTTTATATAAAAAAAGGAAATAGCAGATTTAGATCCCTATATACTATGTGAAGAATTAGTATTGATGACAAATTAAGCAAATTACTTCAAATAATATTAAATAAATTTGTATCTAAACATCCTGTTGCATAGCAAAAAGATTACTATCTTGTTAATATTTTTACAGAGGAATGTATGTGCTTAGATTTTATATGGAATAGCTTTTTTTGAGACATATGTAAGCATGTCTATGTAGCATAGTAGTTTAATAAGGTTGAAGATAATAAAATTATACTAGATATTATTAAAGATAATTTTGTATAATATTTCTGCAATAAAGAATACGCAATGCCAAAAGAGCAAAAAAATTAGATTATATATAGTAGCTTAACTGATACTGTGTTGAAAGAGATTCTTCATATTTATTCAATACAAGATAATGATATTTTTTTCTCCTATAAACGTAGAGCTACAGAAAGAGACCTATTTTGGCTTGCTAAGATACCTACACAGAGGACTTTAAATATTAGTACTTCTAAAATTCATGATGCAAAACCTCAAAATCAACTAGTTTTACAAATGTAATATTTAATAAAGAGGTATATACTGTATATATATACATATAAGTTAAATAAATTACATGTATTTTATATAATTTACAAATATATTACTTTTTTAGAATGTTGATATTAAGGATAGTGATAATGATTTAATGCTACTTGATGATAAATTAGAATTATTAGCTGCATTTGAATTGGACCAAACTTTGCTATATAATTTAGGAGAGCAATTAAATTTATTGTCTCTGTCAATTCAAAATCAAGAATAGCTACAATTTGCAATCGAAAATATAATATTTCAAGAAGACAGGTAATATAATTATCAAAATAAATATGTATTATATTTATATATACATAGTATATTAATTATAAATTTTTAATATGTAGTCTATTTAATGTGAAGATAACATTAATGCAGTGTTATTTAATAAAGATATTATATAATCCAAACTTGAAAGGCTTTTTGAAGAGAAGCAAACTGGTTAGAAGTGATATAACTTCGTAAAATCTTATCTTAAACAAGATATTTGTTTAAATGATAATGTTAAACAAAATAAAAAAAAGTTATTCACATAGTTTGATAGCAAAAAAAATAAGACAAAGCAAATATCTAGATTAGAGTCAAATAAAAATTTGTAAAGATTTTAAAACATTATATCTTAAAATATTACATGTATAAATAAATTATACATAGTATAGTAGTGTATATTATAATATATAGCAATAAGATTATACATAGTACATCTTATAATTTTACAGATATAATTATAAATTTTGCAATTTATAATAATGTGATTATTTTATACTATGTGGATTAAAAACAATGTTTTATTTTTTTTTTATGAGCTAGTTAAAAAAATGGGTCGAGTAAGTCAAAAACAATATTTTTGCCCCAGACCTACAAAAAAAAAAAAAAAAGTTAGTTCCTTTTTGAGAAAAAAAGTGAAAGATTAAATAAACAAAAAAAATTAGTAATTAAATAATTCTTGCCCAAGTCTAAATCTTAATCATTTATCGCTGATTCACATTCTAATGAAGTTCAAACCTACAGAAAGAAAGAATTAGTTTCTTATTGAAAAAAAAGAATATTACTCACATACTTATATCATATTACAGAAGTTAAAGTACTCTAACCTTAAATGAAGATCTTCTTCGAATTACAAAATGTTAAAAGTCAATGTTTGTTCGTTCAAATAAATAAACATCTTGAGCATAATTTTACAGTTGATTTTATTAATGAACAGGAGAAATGTCCTATGATTAATAAGAGACAGTCAATATTTAATATAGAATAAACTTAATTAAAATTTTGCGAGCCAAAAAAAAGGTTTATAACTTATTATACTTATTTAAAGCTGATCTTAGCTGAATTTTGAAAAAATTCATTTACCTGATCACCACGTTGAGGTGTCAGCAATAGACCGGAGAAAAAAAAAAAAGAAGCAAACTATACCAAATATAAGTTTCCTATAAGAAATAACTAATGAAGTGAAGCGAACTCCTGTAAACTAGTAAATTTCTTATATGTAACTAACAATGAATCTAACCTAAAACCCTAATAAGAGTATGTGCACCTTATCGCCAATTTCTAATATTTAACCTGGAAGAAACTGCGGCCTAAAGATCCAGTAAAAGAGTTAGGAAATTTTCCCAGTACAAAGATTAGAGCCTTAAATTAAGTTTATAGATTTACAACTTCACCAGAGCACCCGCTCGTCTAGTCGGGTGGTTAGTGAAGAATACTTACTATACCAGAGCACCCACTCGTATATTCGGGGTGG